TCTATTGTGTCAGTCAGCGTCCACTGTGTCAGTCAGCGTCCATTGTGTCAATCAGCGTCCACTGTGTCAGTCAGCTTCCAGTGTGTCAGTCAGCGTCCAATGTGTCATTCAGCGCCCATTGTGTCAGTCAGCGTCCACTGTGTCAGTCAGCGTCCACTGTGTCAGTCAGCGTCCACTGTGTCAGTCAGCGTCCACTATGTCAATCTGAGTCCTCTCTGTCAGTGTCCATTGTGTCAGTCAGCGTCCACTGTGTCAATCAACGTCCACTATGTCACTCAGCGTCCACTGTGTCAATCTGCGCCCACTGTGTAAATCTGAGTCCTCTTTGTCAGTCAGCGTCCACTATGTCAATCTGAGTCCTCTCTGTCAGTGTCCATTGTGTCAGTCAGCGTCCACTGTGTCAATCTGCGTCCACTGTGTCAGTCAGCGTCCACTGTGTCAGTCAGCGTCCACTGTGTCAATCTGCGTCCATTGTGTCAGTCAGCGTCCACTGTGTCAGTCAGCGTCCATTGTGTCAACCAGCGTCCACTGTGTCAGTCAGCGTCCACTGTGTCAGTCAGCGTCCATTGTGTCAGTCAGCGTCCATTGTGTCAGTCAGCGCCCACTGTGTCAGTCAGCGTCCATTGCTTCAGTCAGCGTCCTCTGTGTCAGTCAGCGTCCATTGTGTCAATCAGCGTCCACTGTGTCAGTCAGCGTCCACTGTGTCAGTCAGCGTCTATTTTGTCAGACAGCGTCCATTCTGTTGTTCAGCATCCACTGTGTCAGTCAGCGTTCACTGTGTCAGTCAGCGTCCATTGTGTCAATCAGCGTCCACTGTGTCAGTCAGCGTTCACTGTGTCAATCAGCGTCCACTGTGTCAATCAGCGTCCACTGTGTCAGTCAGCGTTCACTGTGTCAGTCAGCGTCCATTGTGTCAATCAGCGTCCACTGTGTCAGTCAGCGTCCACTGTGTCAATCAGCGTCCACTCTGTCAGTGTGCGTCCATTGCGTCAATAAGCGTCCACTGTGTCAATCAGCGTCCACTGTGTCAATCAGCGTCTACTGTGTCAGTCAGCGTGCACTGTGTCAATCAGCGTCCACTGTATCAGTCAGCGTCCACTGTGTCAGTCAGCATCCATTGTGTCATTTAGTGTTCACTGTGTCAGTCAGCGTCCACTGTGTCATTTAGTGTTCACTGTGTCAGTCAGCGTCCACTGTGTCATTTAGTGTTCACTGTGTCAGTCAGCGTCCACTGTGTCATTTAGTGTTCACTGTGTCAGTCAGCGTGCAATGTGTCAATCAGCGTCCACTGTATCAGTCAGCGTCCACTGTGTCAGTCAGCGTCCACTGTGTCATTTAGTGTTCACTGTGTCAGTCAGCGTTCTTTGTGTCAATCAGCGTCCACTGTGTCAATCAGCGTCCACTGTGTCAATCAGCGTCCACTGTGTCAATCAGTGTTCACTGTATCAATCAGCGTCCATTGTGTCAGTCAGCGTCCACTGTATCAGTCAGCGTTCTTTGTGTCAATCAGCGTCCACTATGTCAATCAGTGTTCACTGTATCAATCAGCGTCCATTGTGTCAGTCAGCGTCCATTGTGTCAATCAGCGTCCATTGTGTCAATCAGCGTCCACTGTGTCAGTCAGCGTCCACTGTATCAGTCAGCGTTCTTTGTGTCAATCAGCGTCCACTATGTCAATCAGTGTTCACTGTATCAATCAGCGTCCATTGTGTCAGTCAGCGTCCATTGTGTCAATCAGCGTCCACTGTGTCAATCAGCGTCCACTGTGTCAGTCAGCGTTCACTGTGTCAGTCAGCGTCCATTGTGTCAATCTGCGTCCACTGTGTCAATCAGCGTCCACTGTGTCAGTCAGCGTCCATTGTGTCAATCAGCGTCCACTCTGTCAGTGTGCGTCCATTGCGTCAATAAGCGTCCACTGTGTCAATCAACGTCCACTCTGTCAGTGTGTGTCCATTGTGTCAGTCAGCGTCCACTGCATCAGTCAGCGTCCACTGTGTCAGTCAGCGTCCATTGTGTCATTTAGTGTTCACTGTGTCAGTCAGCGTCCACTGTGTCATTTAGTGTTCACTGTGTCAGTCAGCGTCCACTGTGTCATTTAGTGTTCACTGTGTCAGTCAGCGTCCACTGTGTCATTTAGTGTTCACTGTGTCAGTCAGCGTGCACTGTGTCAATCAGCGTCTACTGTATCAGTCAGCGTCCACTGTGTCAGTCAGCGTCCACTGTGTCATTTAGTGTTCACTGTGTCAGTCAGCGTTCTTTGTGTCAATCAGCGTCCACTGTGTCAATCAGCGTCCACTGTGTCAATCAGCGTCCACTGTGTCAATCAGTGTTCACTGTATCAATCAGCGTCCATTGTGTCAGTCAGCGTCCACTGTATCAGTCAGCGTTCTTTGTGTCAATCAGCGTCCACTATGTCAATCAGTGTTCACTGTATCAGTGTCCATTGTGTCAGTCAGCGTCCATTGTGTCAATCAGCGTCCATTGTGTCAATGAGCGTCCACTGTGTCAGTCAGCGTCCACTGTATCAGTCAGCGTTCTTTGTGTCAATCAGCGTCCACTATGTCAATCAGTGTTCACTGTATCAATCAGCGTCCATTGTGTCAGTCAGCGTCCATTGTGTCAATCAGCGTCCATTGTGTCAATCAGCGTCCACTGTGTCAGTCAGCGTCCACTGTATCAGTCAGGGTCCACTGTGTCAGTCAGCGTCCATTGTGTCAATCAGCGTCCATTGTGTCAATCAGCGTCCACTGTGTCAGTCAGCGTCCACTGTGTCAATCTGCGCCCATTGTGTCAGTCAGCGTGCACTGTGTCAATCAGCGTCCACTGTATCAGTCAGCGTCCACTGTTAGTCATCGTTCACTGTGTCAATCAGCTTCCACTGTGTCAGTCAGCGTCCACTGTCAGTCAACGTCCACTGTGTCAGTCAGCGTCCACTGTCAATCAGCGTCCACTGTGTCAGTCAGCGTCCACTGTCAATCAACGTCCACTGTGTCAGTCAGCGTCCACTGTCAATCAGCGTCCCCTGTGTCAGTCAGCGTCCACTGTCAATCAGCGCCCACTGTGTCAGTCAGCGTCCACTGTCAGTTAGCGTCCACTGCGTCAGTCAGCGTCTAATAAGGTGGCTGACGTAACGAAGTTGTATCTTCGTTAAATTCGTATTTGTAATATTATTTCCTAGCAGACGTGGCCACACATTTACAGTGCTAACTAATATACATTTTCTTCTGTCCTCCATGGACAGGGTGAGAGATCTGTTAAACATATAGTTCAGTGATTTACCGCACAATCAATCACAGAATTTGATTGTAGTGTTTTTAAAATGCTAATTTAACCAACATTCATAAATAGACAAGTATTCAGCGTGTATATTCAGTATACTGACGTGACGTGTATGAGTGCGGGATGACGTCGGGTCTTGTGCTGGGAGCTGACCTTCATTTTCACAAAGTACTATTTGTTTATATATTATTCCTCTCTATCATTACACTATAAAAAGTATGGAGAAGTATGCAGAGAATAAGTCGCAATAACGCGTATGAAACAAATGACCCAACCCACAACAACCCGTTGGTTGACAGATGTGAGGCGGGACCAAAGAACCACAGCTCAACCCCCGCCAATCACAAGTAGGTGAACACACCCGTGAGAGTAGCGACGTCCCGGTCTACTGTGCTCACTTGTCAACTCGTGACAAAAATGCAATATATCAAGCAACTCGGGCGTTGCTTGATATATTGTATCGGTGGACCTGTATAGGTCTGGCGTCATGCAGGTCCGCGTTCAGTCCTCGAGCGTCCAACTGGTTGGACGCCATTCCTCTTCCCCCGTCCCATCCCAAATCCTTATACTGACCTCTTCCAAGTGCTATAACGTCGTAATGGCTTGGTGCTTTCCCCCTGATCATTTCTTCCCTCCCCCCATAGTGAGGAGACATATTAACCCATTTTAACATAGTTTCTCCTCGGTCTGTATTAACAAAGCTCGTGTGTGGCTGAGTGCAGAATTCTAAATCACTCTGCCACTACCAGAGTGAATGACCTTTAATTGTGTAAAGACAAATATAACTTGAGAAAGTGCAAGATACAAGTGGTGTAGAGAATGTGTTTGTTTGCTGTGATGCAGCCAGTGGAGCTCATCCTCCACTGGCGTCGCGCGCCTCCCACTCTCTCTCTCTCTCTCTCTCAAGTGACTCTTCAACACACCACTCACTCGGGAGGCCGTAATGTATTCTCACACAAACATATAATTGAGGCGACGGGTCGTTGGAGCAGAGCACCAGGAGACGAGGTTGTGGAGACTTTCCCTGGTAATTTTGTGTGTGGGGGGTGGGGGAGGAGGAGGGAGGGAAGTGTCATTATAGCAGTGTAGGTGCTGCGTCAAGCAGAGTGAGTGCTGCGTCAAGCAGTGTGGGTGCTGCGTCAAGCAGAGTAAGTGCTGCGTCAAGCAGAGTGAGTGCTGCGTCAAGCAGTGTGGGTGCTGCGTCAAGCAGAGTAAGTGCTGCGTCAAGCAGAGTGAGTGCTGCGTCAAGCAGTGTGTGTGTGAGTGTGTGGAGAAAGTGTCTAGACAGCTCTCTCTTCCTCCTGTTCCCCGTCGTATGTCTTAGTGTCAACATAAAACAATTTTTTACTTTGTTATGTCCAGTGGTTATCGCTAGGAAAAAAATATTGGTTTTTAGTGAGGAAATGTTTACAATGAATGGCAGGTTCATCTTTAGCATCTTCAATGATTTGTGATTTTGTTGTTCGGGTGCCCTTGATAGGTCACTCTAAGGTGATGGGTCCGATGTTTCGTTCCCTTCCTAATTCTGGGCTACAGAACTCACTGCTAGTCATGAGTTGCTGGCACAGTGAGTGACATGAGTCAGGGCTCAGTAAACAAGTGGTTCAGTAGTACACATCTTCTGGGTACACAGCAGCTCTCATGGCTCGCAACTGATTACAATCAACCTGTAAGTCCTCCTCTAAGGAGGCAGACGACTGAGAACTGGAGTCTTAACTCACCCAGCCAGAACTCTCTGTCGAAGTCGCCGAAGCCGACCTTGTAGTCGTCCCAGCCCCGCATGAAGTTCTCATGAGGCTCCACGTCGTCCCTCACCTACTGCCCCGGGGCGTCGCCGGCGGCCACGTCAAGAAACAAGCCAACATACCCCAGACGAAGACACAAGAAAGCCAAATGTATAATGCTGCAATTAAACAATTTGAAGTATATTTTTTATATACCACCTTTTTCATTGCCTGAAATGCTGTAATTGTATCCCAAAGTATCTGAAAATCTACTTCTGCAGTGAAACCAAAGGTATAGTTTTGTTCCAGAGGAATAAGTATTTATTACATATTAGACAGGGGTTCTCTCTCTCCCTCCCACCAACCTATTATTTTTCCCTCCCATTCTCTCTCCTTCCCCCGCTCTCTCTCTCTCTCTCTCTCTCTCTCTCTCTCTCTCTCTCTCTCTCTCTCTCTCTCTCTCTCTCTCTCTCTCTCTCTCTCTCTCTCTCTCTCTCTCTCTCTCTCTCTCTCTCTCTCTCTCTCTCTCTCTCTCTCTCTCTCTCTCTCTCTCTCTCTCTCTCTCTCTCTCTCTCTCTCTCTCTATCTGAACATGAGTATACGCGCCCAGCAAACAATATTTTTCCTATGGTTACTTGGAAACAACGACATTGTGGTTACATTGTGTGCATGAGCATCTGAAAATATGTTGAAAACTGTGGGAACCAAAGCCCCATTCAGACTTCATAGGAGTCGTTATAGTCGTCGCAATAAGAGCCGATCCTACCTCACAAGGGGCACTTGGGTCTCTCCCTCTCTTCCCCTATGACACTCCCCCATACAATTACAAATCGCCATGAAAAGTTCCGTGAAGCTAACTGCAAGCGTCTGGTCTCCCACCTAACAGACAAACACACACACAAGCAGACATTCTAGTGTTTAGATATATAGAGTAAGGGCATATAAAGCCTCCTGAAGTGAGTTAGAAAGACTGACCTGGAAGATTGTCCAGCCGCCACCCTCACTCTGGAGGTCACAGAAGATCTTCCAGGGACCCTGGACTAGATTTGGCGGGTGGATGAGGTAGATGCCACTCTCGGTGGCTCCCTGCGTCTCCTGGATGTTCTGGCAACTCGAACCCACGTGGAAGGATTCTGTGTGAAGACCTACGCGTTACATCCTGAGCCACACTCAGAGGAGGACGGCTCACCCTGAGGCACACCCTGAGGGGAACGAAACACCCTGAAGTGGGCGACACACTGAATAAGGCGTCATACATTGATTTCTATCCGCACAGAAGTTAGTAGTGTATCCTATCTACTGTACCTCTATACTGTCCTAACATATGTCTAATTCAAGGGTCTAAACGGTTTCTGTTAATAGGCTCTATACCTTTTACTGTGGCGATATAATTATTATATAGCTGGGAGTCACTGCCAACACAACACTGTCAGTTCAGCATGCTGCGCGGACTCCTTGAATATTGAGTGAACGAACGCTTTAAGCATGATACGCATTGACATAGTTTACGTTATTCCGAACCCGGGTAGTCGAGGCCCAAGCTGTCTACAGGTCGTCGTCGTCTATCTTATCTACAGACCGTCGTCGTCTATCCTATCTACAGACCGTCGTCGTCTATCCTATCTACAGACCGTCGTCGTCTATCCTATCTACAGACCGTCGTCGTCTATCCTATGTACAGACCGTCGTCGTCTATCCCATTCACTGGCCGTCGTTGTCCATTCGAGCCATGGGCTGTCGTCGCCCCCATATCAACAACATATTTTACGTCAGCATTCCAGTGTTGGAAGTAAAGTAATCACTGCGCTCTCTAAAATGGTTGAAGTCGACCGTTTGAGAAAGTCTTCGGTGTAAAGAAGCTGTTAAACCCGTTGTTTTGCCGCGGTAATTACTTCAAACAAGAAAGCGTTGACGGCGGGGTTTTGGGGAAAATTATTATAGTTAAGGAGTCATTGAGCGCAGTGGGAGCTATTCCTGTCAATAACGGTGTCGTTGAACCCGGCTCTTGGAGAAAGTCGTCTATCACCGCATCAGCGCGCCCACATCACCGGCGGTAAACAAGTCCCAGCAAACAAGACGTCCCACTGCCAGAGGAACCCAGCGACAGCTGGTCCGCGCGCCAGGATTGACAGAGCTGTTTCGTGTCCACTTGCAGTGGACTCGTGTCCACTCTTACGTTCATCATGGCGGTGATGCCTCGAGTTATAGAACAGTTTACGAGTTCCAAAGAGCTAACAGGCGCACATAGCAATAACAATCTTAGGTTGATAAGAACCCCGTAACCCTGTGAAAAATACCTGTTTCCATTGATTGATGAGATTGATGAAGATTAAGCCACCCGAGAGGTAGCACGGGCATGAATAGTCCATAAGCCTGTTTCAAGACGATCTGCCCATTTACGGGCTATTCATGCCCATGCCACCTCTTGGGTGGCTTAATCTTCATCAATCAATCAATCATTCTGCCCATGCTGGCAGTCGTACTGTTGCTGCTCTTACTGCTGGGGCTTCCTCTCGCGGTGGACGATGATTGACCACCAGGAGGCAACACGTGGAGACGGGTCTATAACACAGTTGTCTGGGGCAGCCCAGTGGAGTACTGGCTGGCGCTCCCTGAACCGCTGCCCTTGGCCTGCAGGTGGCCTCCAGCCGCGGCCATGGCACCTCGCCTTCACCTTACTCTTGACCCGTGGTGTTGACCCGTGGTGTTGACCCGTGGTGTTGACCTGTGGTGTTGACCCGTGGTGTTGACCCGTGGTGTTGACCCGTGGTGTTGACCCGTGGTGTTGACCCGTGGTGTTGACCCGTGGTGTTGACCTGTGGTGTTGACCCGTGGTGTTGACCCGTGGTGTTGACCTGTGGTGTTGACCCGTGGTGTTGACCCGTGGTGTTGACCCGTGGTGTTGACCCGTGGTGTTGACCCGTGGTGTTGACTCGTGGTGTTGACCCGTGGTGTTGACTCGAGACCTTGGTCCAGCTCATAGTCACCTTGTTGGAGGCTGTGATAACCTTTTACAAGGCTCACGTATAACTGATTACCTCAGCCGCGTAACTTGGCCCTAAATAGCCAAGTCAAGAATACCCAAGATGCGCATGTTGGGTATTCTTGTGCACTGAAGAATTAACCGTAGCTGTTGACTGGCCAGATACAGGAATTATCAAGGCAGACTAGGCAAGTGTAGGAGTAATCAGGCAGACTGATCAAATACACGAATAATCGAGGCAAATGTTTTAAAGTGTACTACCGGGGGGGGGGGGTGGAGGGAACCGGTGTTGCCCTGTACGTGTCTCCCCATTCACTCTTTATCCGTCTCTATATTATTCTCGTTCTCTTCTCTCTGTCTGTCTCTCTCGTTTTTTTAGCAGGAAATTTATGTTAATTTTCCTGAGATCAATGAATAATGGTAAACTGTGATAAAAAAAATGGAAATGTCTGCTTGCAAGATATTTAGCTGTGTAGCAGGCGGGCAGTGCTAAACAACGTCGTGGGTATCTTAATGTGACTCTGGCACGCTGTTCCTTTTTTAATTCTGGCGGCTCCGACCAGCCTATATTCATCCCGTACCCCAGACCATTCCTTCTGTTAATTTAGGTAACGCCAGCCCCAAGCTCCTGGCCTCCAGCTGTGGACACACCAACAGACAATGTCTCGTATAGGTATAGATGTAGTCAAGTACTCGCCAGAGTTCTCTGGTGGTCAGCACACTAACTGCACCACAACCGACGCCACGTCATGAATACTGACCGGGACTACACATACTATACTCGGGCTACTGCAAACCTGCCGAATTCGTCGCAATCTCAACCCAGATTATCACAAAATACCCACGTATTTACATCCATTACCGCGACAACATGATTTCAGCTAAAGCAATCAGAGCCACTGGCAGGGAGATAGCAGAGCCAACCCAAGGTATTTTGTGATATCCATCAACCAGGACTATCATGTCGGAACATAACTAGAACGTAATTTCGACCAATCCACAGCCAGCAGGACCAAACTAGAACTAACCCAAGGCATGTGATTTCTAACACCCAGTACTAGCCAATCCATTATACTTTAATTCAATCACCCATGCCTACCTAAAACTATCCAGGCTTATCTATGATTAACATGTTTGTGTGGATATTTTCTTCCTACTGGGAGGGTATGGTGCATGTTACTAAGTCGGTGTGTCCGCTCATAGGATACGGGACGGTGCGAAATAAACAGAACCTTCTGGGCACATTTTAATACACAATGCAGACGACGAGTCACAGTAACGTGACTGAAGATGTGATGACCAGACCGCACACCAGAAGATGAAGAGACGACGACGTCTCGGTCCGTCCTGGACCGTTTTCAAGTCGATTATTATAATGGTCCAGGGCGGACCGAAACGTCGTCGGCTCTTCATCTTTAATGCAAAAGATCAACAATGCACTCAACGCGGCACTTACTGGTAAAGTCTAATATAGCTCTGGTCCTGAGGCCGGAGGAGTTGGTGGGTGTGTGAGCCTCTTGGAGGACGTGCCGGCCAGGGCGACGAAGCTGCGTCGGTCCTCCAGCGTCCACGTCGCCTACAGTCTCCTGCAGGAGTCCGTCGGCCTCCCCCTGGGATAGGATGAAAGTTTGGATGGAAATTATGAGTAATGAGACTCGTTGTGGTGGGAGATCATGAGTAATGAGATTATATGAGTAATGGGATTCGTTGTGGTGAGAGGGGGAGCGGATGATTCGGATGGGTGGATGGTGCAGACTGGGCTGTGCCGAGCCCAGACGTTACACTATACATGCCGCCCAACCGTCCGTCCACAGCCCCTCTTGTAACAGGTGTTAATGATAAAGAAACGAAGTGTAAACTATGTGGTATGTTAAGGTCTCACACCCTCACCCATTATATTCTTGATTGTCCGCTGATTAATGTATATAGAAACACTGAGATAAGAATTGTTCCTGAACAATTAGTCTGGATGTGTCACAACGGAAAGGTTAATGATATTTTGGAGAGATATAAAAAATTTGTAGCGAGTAGATTATCCCAATAATATACTCGCTCCAAATGCATTGTTAATATTCCTGTCAACCTTTGGAGATGAATGAGGTGAGGTGTTGCCCGAGCATATAAGCAGCAGAATAGCAATCATTAACTAGTCTACTTTCAAGTGTGGTCTAGAGCAGACACTTGCGAGATACTGTACCAACGCTCAGTGCGCTCAACTCACACCAAAGTATCACCTGTGTACTTCTGTATATTCGACCAAATATATATATAGTATCTTAGTGTCTGTGTTTATTGTCACCATACTTTACGTAACAATAGAACCGTTACAAATTTGTGAATTTTGTCTATTGCAAATGGTATGTGTACCTAGTCATACAAGTATTAGTGTGTACGTCAGTTAACATACTACACGTGTGTAACGGAAGAAATGTTTTGTTTATCACTCAGTATGTTCAGAAATATGCTTATTGTTTGTGATGTATATATATATATATATATATATATATATATATATATATATATATATATATATTTATATATATATATATCTATATATATATATATATATATATATATATATATATATATATATATATATATATATATGTCGTACCTAGTAGCCAGAACGCACTTCTCGGCTTACTATACAAGGCCCGATTTGCCTAATAAGCCAAGTTTTCCTGAATTAACATATTTTCTCAAACTTTTTTCTTATGAAATGATAAAGCTACCCATTTCATTATGTATGAGGTCAATTTTTTTATTGGAGTTAAAATTAACGTAGATATATGACCGAACCTAACCAACCCTACCTAACCTAACCTAACCTATCTTTATAGGTTAGGTTAGGTTAGGTAGCCGAAAAAGTTAGGTTAGGTAGTCGAAAAACAATTATTTCATGAAAACTTGGCTTATTAGGCAAATCGGGCCTTGCATAGTAGGCTGAGAAGTGCGTTCTGGCTACTAGGTACGACATATATATATATATATATATATATATATATATATATATATATATATATATATATATATATATATATATATATATATATATATATATATATATATATATATATATGAACACATTGTACTGAACGGGGTTAGAATAGCTTGAACTATCTCGTCCCTTTGTGTGTATTTATAGCTCAATAAACTTATTTCAATTTCAATTTTCAACCCCCCTCTCTCACTCCTCCACCTCCCTATCTTTCACCACCCCTCCCTCACTTCCCTACTATCTCCCCTGCCCTCCTCACCCCTCCACTACCCCTCCCTCACCCCCCCTCCTCCACACTCCACACACCACCCTCAACACTACCCCTCCCTCACCCCCCCTCCTCCACCACTCAACGCACCACCCTCCCTACACTACCCCTCCCTCACCCCCCTCCTCCACCACTCAAGCTTGGGTAACAATCCACTAATCAAATTTCACTAGATGTTTTGCTTTAAGAAGTTTCTTATCCTGTAATAAAAGCAATTACCTCATTGTACCTCCTGAGAAGCCTTAAAGAGCCTCCCACACCCCGGGCGTCACTCTTACACTCTGAGTCATCTTCACGTATATACCTATACTTTAAGAGAGAATGTATGACTCTGTCTGTGTGTTGGAGGCCAGACGCTCGGGGCTAGTCTCACCCACCTTTGGGTGAGAGGGTAAGGGTCTGGTGGGTATGGGGCGGTCATAGGCAAGTCAGGGGGGGGGGGTAGATCTAAGTTAAATACTTTAAGAAATATGGCCTGTGATTCCCACTCCCCCCTTAACCCCCCCCCCCCTTCCCCATGCGATTTTCATGAAGTCTGAAATTAAATCGGACATACGTTTTTCGTATGTCCGATTATATATAAGTATCTCTAGGGTTCACTCAACATCCACACCAAGTATCTCTAGGGTTCACTCTACACCCACACCAAGTATCTCTAGGGTTCACCTTACACCAACACCAAGTATCTCTAGGGTTCACCCTACACCCACACCAAGTATCTCTAGGGTTCACCTTACACCCACACCAAGTATCTCTAGGGTTCACCCTACACCCACACCAAGTATCTCTAGGGTTCACCCTACACCAACACCAAATATCTCTAGGGTTCACCCTACACCCACACCAAGTATCTCTAGGGTTCACCTTACACCCACACCAAGTATCTCTAGGGTTCACCTTACACCAACACCAAGTATCTCTAGGGTTCACCCTACACCCACACCAAGTATCTCTAGGGTTCACTCAACATCCACACCAAGTATCTCTAGGGTTCACTCAACATCCACACCAAGTATCTCCAGGGTTCACCCTACACCCACACCAAGTATCTCTAGGGTTCACCTTACACCCACACCAAGTATCTCTAGGGTTCACCCTACACCCACACCAAGTATCTCTAGGGTTCACCCTACACCCACACCAAGTATCTCTAGGGTTCACCCTACACCAACACCAAGTATCTCTAGGGTTCACTCTACACCCACGCCAAGTATCTCTAGGGTTCACCTTACACCCACACCAAGTATCTCTAGGGTTCACCCTACACACCAAGTATCTCTAGGGTTCACCCTACACCCACACCAAGTATCTCTAGGGTTCACCCTACACCCACACCAAGTATCTCTAGGGTTCACCTTACACCCACACCAAGTATCTCTAGGGTTCACCCTACACCAACACCAAGTATCTCTAGGGTTCACCCTACACCCACACCAAGTATCTCTAGGGTACACCCACACCAAGTATCTCTCACACCAAGTATCTCTAGGGTTCACCCTACACCAACACCAAGTATCTCTAGGGTTCACCCTACACCCACACCAAGTATCTCTAGGGTTCACCCTACACCCACGCCAAGTATCTCTAGGGTTCACCCTACACCCACACCAAATATCTCTACCGTTACCCTTCCGGAAAGTAACTCTGTAGTTCCCTTGTACAAATTGTGTTTTTCTTTAGATAATATTCCGCTCTAAAACAGCCTAGACCTAAAACTTTCTGTTTGTTACAATATTTTTCCCACAACTTTCCCACAACTTTCCTACGACTTTCCCACAACTTTCCCAGGAGTAACACCGTGAACGGCTTTCTATGTTTAGCGTGGAGGCCTTGTGCGTAACGGCGTTCTATATGGAGCACTCTGCTGCTGTGGAACACACTGCTGTGGATCACACTGCTGTGGATCACACTGCTGTGGATCACACTGCTGTGGATCACACTGCTGTGGAGCACACTGCTGTGGAGCACACTGCTGTGGAATACACACTGCTGTGGAGCACACTGCTGTGGATCACACTGCTGTGGAGCACACTGCTGTGGAGCACACTACTGTGGAATACACACTGCTGTGGAGCACACTGCTGTGGATCACACTGCTGTGGATCACACTGCTGTGGAGCACACTACTGAGGAGCACACTGCTGTGGAACACACTGCTGTGGAACACACTGCTGTGGAGCACACTACTGTGGAGCACACTGCTGTGGAGCACAATGCTATGGATCACACTGCTGTGGATCACACTGCTGTGGATCACACTGCTGTGGATCACACTGCTGTGGAGCACAATGCTATGGATCACACTGCTGTGGATCACACTGCTGTGGATCACACTGCTGTGGATCACACTGCTGTGGAACATACACACTGCTGTGGAAAACACACTGCTGTTGAACACACTACTATGGAACACACTGCTGTTGAACACACTACTATGGAACACACTGCTGTTGAACACACTGCTGTGGATCACACTGCTGTGGAGCACACTACTCTGGATCACACTGCTGTGGAGCACACTACTGTGGATCACACTGCTGTGGATCACACTGCTGTGGATCACACTGCTGTGGATCACACTGCTGTGGAGCACACTACTGTGGAGCACACTACTGTGGATCACACTGCTGTGGAACACACTGCTGTGGATCACACTGCTGTGGATCACACTGCTGTGGAACACACTGGTGTGGAGCACACTACTGTGGAACACACTACTGTGGAACACACTGCTGTGGAGCACACTACTCTGGATCACACTGCTGTGGAAAACACACTGCTGTTGAACACACTACTATGGAACACACTGCTGTGGATCACACTGCTGTGGATCACACTGCTGTGGAGCACACTACTCTGGATCACACTGCTGTGGAGTACACTACTGTGGATCACACTGCTGTGGATCACACTGCTGTGGAGCACACTACTCTGGATCACACTGCTGTGGAGTACACTACTGTGGAACACACTGCTGTGGATCACACTGCTGTGGAGTACACTACTGTGGAACACACTGCTGTGGATCACACTGCTGTGGAGCACACTACTCTGGATCACACTGCTGTGGAGTACACTACTGTGGAACACACTGCTGTGGATCACACTGCTGTGGATCACACTGCTGTGGAGCACACTACTCTGGATCACACTGCTGTGGAGTACACTACTGTGGAACACACTGCTGTGGATCACACTGCTGTGGAGCACACTACTGTGGATCACACTACTGTGGATCACACTACTGTGGATCACACTGCTGTGGAACACACTGCTGTGGATCACACTGCTGTGGATCACACTGCTGTGGAGCACACTACTCTGGATCACACTGCTGTGGAGTACACTACTGTGGATCACACTGCTGTGGAACACACTGCTGTGGATCACACTGCTGTGGAGCACACTACTCTGGATCACACTGCTGTGGAGTACACTACTGTGGATCACACTGCTGTGGAGTACACTACTGTGGAACACACTGCTGTGGATCACACTGCTGTGGAGTACACTACTGTGGAACACACTGCTGTGGAGCACACTACTCTGGATCACACTGCTGTGGAGTACACTACTGTGGATCACACTGCTGTGGAGCACACTACTCTGGATCACACTGCTGTGGATCATACTGCTGTCACACTGCTGTGGAGTACACTACTGTGGATCACACTGCTGTGGAGTACACTACTGTGGATCACACTGCTGTGGAGCACACTACTCTGGATCACACTGCTGTGGAGTACACTACTGTGGATCACACTGCTGTGGAGTACACTGCTGTGGATCACACTGCTGTGGAGTACACTGCTGTGGATCACACTGCTGTGGAGTACACTGCTGTGGATCACACTACTGTGGATCACCCTGCTGTGGAACACACTGCTGTGGATCATACTGCATCACACTGCTGTGGATCACACTGCTGTGGAGTACACTGCTGTGGATCACACTGCTGTGGAGTACACTGCTGTGGATCACACTACTGTGGATCACCCTGCTGTGGAACACACTGCTGTGGATCACACTGCTGTGGATCACACTACTGTGGATCACACTGCTGTGGAGTACACTACTGTGGATCACACTGCTGTGGAGTACACTACTGTGGATCACACTGCTGTGGATCACACTGCTGTGGATCACACTGCTGTGGATCACACTGCTGTGGATCACACTGCTGTGGATCACACTGGTGTGGAGCACACTACTGTGGAACACACTACCGTGGAACACACTGCTGTGGAACACATTGCTACTAACTTAGCCATATATCTAGCTTAGCGATATTTCTCAGCGATATACTATTTCTGACGTACGTCTTCGACTTCATAAAATATCTCTCGCTTCCCAATATCTCTTAACTTAGCGACATGTCTGAGTTCCCTAATATATCCTGATCACTTGTGTCTGTTCGTTGCAGTGCATATGTGTAGTTCTTCAGTGATGGCTACAGCAGTGATATGGAGGCTCAGGGGCCTCCATATCAAGGAGGTGGAATGTCAAGGTGAAATGTTTCCCCTGGAGTACAGTGCACCGCCCAGTCCCCTGTGGATTACTGCCGCTACAGCGTTGTAGTCTTCAGTGGTGTGCTGGCCCCTGGCCTGCTCCGCTGGCCTGCCTCCCTGGTCTGCCTCCCTGTCATGCCTCGCTGACATGCCTCCTTGACTTGCCTCGATGACCTGCCTCGCTGGCCTGCCTCGATGACCTGCCTCGCTGGCCTGCCTCGATGACCTGCCTCGCTGGCCTGCCTCGATGACCTGCCTCCTTGACCTGCCTCGCTGGCCTTACTTCCGGGTCTGCCTCGATGATCTGCCTCCCTGACCTGCCTCGATGACCTGCCTCCTTGACTTGACTCCTTGACCTGCCTCGCTGGCCTGATTCCCGGGTCTGCCTCGATGACCTGCCTCGATGATCTGCCTCGATGACCTGCCTCCTTGACATGACTCCTTGACCTGCCTCGCTGGCCTGACTCCCGGGTCTGCCTCGATGACCTGCCTCCTTGACATGACTCCCTGACCTGCCTCGATTACCCTCCTCCCTAGTCTGCATCGATGACCTGCCTCCCTGACCTGCCTCGATGACCTGCCTCCCTGACCTGCCTCAATGACCTACCTCGCTGACCTTCCTCCCTGGTCAGCCTGCTCTTGATGCTCACTCAAGAATGTATGTCTGACCTCTCCCACAAGGCGTTAGTATCGGGGGTGTAACTAATGTATTGAGGTAAACAAGGTAGTGTGTGATCACTGACCCCAGGACGTGTTGCCTGGGGTCAGGGAGAGGAACAACA